AATAAATATTATTTTTATAAATAAAGAAATTAAATTTATAATAATAAATTACAATACCTCACAACATAGATTATATTATAACAAAAGCACTTTCGGACAAAGTTTGGTGCTGGTTGGAAAGATGGAAGGAATGAAGAAAGAGTTGACAGCGTCAGGGATCTGAGTCGGACGGGGTTCTAAAATTCTAAGAAGTGGGGTCAGGCAATATTCCGATGAGGGAAACATCAACGTGGGAGGCAAGTAAGTAAGGGCGGTGGGATAGTAAAAAAAATCATTGATTGTAGACACGTGGCGCAGTTTTATAGAGTGATGGCCGACATGGGACGGCCATTGCTTTTTTAAAGTTAAATGCTAATTTGGGTCGCCCAATTTTATAAAGTTGTAATTTTTTGGTTTTTAAACTATTTTTTTTGTACTTTTTCGATCCTTCAATTTTAAAAATCGTATAATTTTGATCTTTTCATCAATTAACCATGACGTGGCTGTTAAATACTTCTACAGTGACATTTTCTTTTAATTTTTTTATGATGTGGCAATGACATGTCCTGTTATGAGATTACATGGATAAAAAAAATACCACATCAGATAAATCTTTATATTTTTAATTAAAAAAATAAAAAAACCTCTCAATCCTATCTTCTTCCCTTCTTTCTCCCCTTCCTATTGGGTTCAATATCAAACCCAGCAAAGCTAGGATCCACCAAAACTTCTTCCCCTTCTTTCTCTTATTCCCCCTCTTGCTTTCTCTTTCTTCCTCCTCTTGTTGCTGGGTTCGTTTAAACCTAGTTTTAGGTTCCACGGAACCCAATGATCTGGGTTCGGTTGAACCCAGGTCTAGGTTCCTCGAAACCCAACGATTTGGGTTCGTTTGATCTCAATTTTGGGTTTCATGGAACCTAGCGACATGGGTTTAAGGAACGCAAATTTCTAGGTTTTCAAACCGATGTTTATAGATTTTTTTGTTTAGTAACTCTAGCAATTTCTATCCATATATTGAACACTTTTATTTGATGGATTTTTGTTTCAAATACTGTGGTTCTGGGATAGCAATCTAGTATTATGAATGCTACAAAATTTTGTTTATATGTTTTGGTTTCGCTATTTCTCTTCTGAGTATGTGATCAATAAGATGGATTGAAGTAGTATGAATTTTTAAGATTTTGATTTAGTTCTGTTGTAGGGTTAATCATCAGTGTCAAAAAAAAAACTTTTCAAGAGAGAATTTTATTAAATCTTGGGTTTGGTTTTGTTGTTAGGTTTCTTTCATTTTGATTTTGTGCAATCAAAAAGATTATGTTGGTTTCTTATAAGTTTAATTATAACTAATAATTTTAATTATATAAATTAATAGGTGTTTTTTTTAATATTACTATATAAGTCTTAATTTCACCACGTAAGCATTTTTTTTAGGTGGATTATTTATTTCATCAAAAAAATATAAAAAATGCCACGTAGACGGAGTTAATTATCTAAATTGACGAAAGGATCAAAATTGTGTAGTTTTTAGAGTTGAAGGATCAAAAAACTGTAAAAAATTTTAGGGACCAAAAAAGTAAAACTCTATAAAGTTGAGAGACCAAAATTAACATTTAACCCTTTTTTAATGGTCGGGCGAGGTTAGCATCAGTGGGCTCCACGTCAACTGGCTTTTACTTAATCGGGAAGATTCAGAGAATCCAATCCAAGCCTATCTGTTGGGCATGTCCAACGTCCTTTTCTCAGGTGGGCCGAGTCCACTTACTTAGTTTTATCGTATAATTATTATTAAATATGATATAAATTTTAATTTTATTAAATTT